GGTGTTGCGTGCAGATGTTGAGAGAGAGGTTTGCAGAGGTGTAATAAACTGTGACATGCATGTGTTTGTATGTCCAAAGTCCAAAGTTAAATCGAAAAGGTGAGATGGAGCAACGCTGACGAACACCGCTTTCTGTGGTGAACTCGGGTGAAAAAGTGCCGTAAGCTCAAGTTGGCCACCAACTATTAGTATAAAGAGATCACTAAATTAAAATAAATTTCTCGAGTACACCCTTCAGGGAAAGGCAGCGCAAGAGTTTAGAGTGGGTGACTGAGTCGAAGCCCGCTTTCAGATCGAGAAGGATAGAGATGCTAGTTCTAGGAAAGAAGTCTGTGTTCTACTATATCCGCGAAAGTTTTAGAGGCGATATTGATTAAACTAATTCCTCTGTGCTTTATTCACGAGGATCTATCACCATTCCTGGAAATCGGTTAGATGTCCAACTCACCCACTCAATTGAAGCCTATTCTCTCCCATACGGAGCCAAGGAGTTTCATCAACTCGAAGACCAAGACTGAACCCCCGTCTTTGAAAGTGGGCGTGAATTCTTGCACGGACAGGTTCAGACTGGGCTCTTAATAACCTATCGAGAAAATTCTATCGTGGGCGGGCTATTCTCGAGTTCATGGCTTTTGAATCTGATGCAATTAACTATATATTTTTGGCTTCCGAAAGTGCAGCTGGTGAAACGGTGACCTGTTTGGAAACAGTTTTTCGTTTGGAGTAGCCCGACGACATCGCTTTGTTCGTAAATTCAAGTGCTAGTTTGATCCATCCGTGGCGCATGCATGACATTGGCGTTGGTCTGAAAGTTGGGATGCTTAGTGCCACAGTATCCGAAGTGTTAATATATGAATCTAGCATCAGGATAGTCGACGTTGAAGGTATTCGTTGGTTAGCTGTTTGATTATTGCATAATTAGTCCCGTTTTTCTTATTACACACATTTGTTTGATGAACAGCTGAAGGGGTGGATCTCATAGTCACGAAGACCTGCAGTTCAGCAATAGAAACCGGAAATATATACCCCGGGACTTTGAGTGATGAGCCACATAAGCCCTCGGTTAGGTTAAGCGTGATATTGAACCGGATGAGAGTAAAAGTGCCTATAACCAAAGTTAGGTGGCGGTATCGGTGTTCGAACCCTGAACCATAGGGTCCGAAGCACACCGGTCATCATCGTCACCGTATAGCGAGGTACACTGAAGCGAACTTCATTGAGCCCTGTCAGACTCATAATGCATCTAAGATAGGGAGGAATGTGTGCAGGGGATGGTGGCTGGACCGATTTTGGACGACTGGGAAAGAAAGCAAACCTTCATATTCAGCACAGGGTACGCAGCCCAGCTGCACATACACACTATATCTAGCTTCCTGGTCCGATTAGAGGGGATAACAAAAGCGCCAGTGCTATCGGTTAGCTGTCCGGACCTTCAGTATCTCCAACCAACCAGTTACGGCCTCGTGTCTCAGCCTGGAGGGCGGGAAACACCTATGAGCATTCCATCATATCTCGTCTCCCTATAATCCATGATGAACTGAGATTCGCTAAGCAATATAATTGATTATTATTCTGTTTTGATGAAATTAAACAATGAATCTTCTCTCTCTTTGGACCGTTTCGATTCAGGAAGTTCGTAGTTCAACGATAAAGTGAAATAACGGTTCACTGCTGATTTTGCCCCTAGTGAATGAATTAAAACAAAAGTTACGCAAGTTAAAATGTTCGCCAATTTTCACTTCTCCTGGTTTATATGTGTACAGTATGTTTCATTTTATTGAAACGTCGATAGCGATCGCTATCTTTGTTCTACCTCTCTCTCGCACGCGCGCAATTTTCTCTTATCAGGGATCGGCTGGACCGGTCTGTATGTGAATCCGGCGAATGCGTTCATTCAATCCTGGGGACTGGGTGATGTTTCTTCTTGGTCACACGTATGCGTTTATTGGCTCGGCCCATTTTCCGGCGTCTGGTTATCCTATCAGTTCGAGCGATGGTTCACTCAGTTTATGGAGGACCGTTCCAGTCACACTGTTTCCNACACTATCAAAAACGCGCAGCATGGTGACATCAGCCACACAAACCGTCTCGACCAGGTCTGACTTGACCGAATCGGATTCATCTGGCCCCTCGACTCGTCGTGGTCCGTCCGGTTCGCGCTGGTCCCATAACCCGGTCTTCCGTGGCCTACTTTCACCCATGATCGATGTTCGTTGGTCCAGTCGGGGCAAATCTCCCACTGGTGGTGGTGGTGGTGCTCGATCAAACGGGCTCGGTATCATCTCCCGGTTTACTCGTTCTGCAGCTCAATCGGATGGCGCGTCCAGGTGATGTGTTCGTCTCTCGACACCTATCAGTCCCCTGTTTCTTT